ATACAAAAAGGGAAGGGATGGACAAACTTGAAGAAGAGTGAAACGGATTGTTTGTAATGTGATTGTTTGTAATGTGAACGTTTTCAGTCAGCCCATCAAAAACCAAGCAATTCATGGACTTAAAAATAACTTACAACCTGTGAAATCGGTAAACAATATAAAAGTAGACCATGAGGTAAATTAATGAAATTTTTTATTCACAATGAAACTAGGACGTCATCGACTTTAATGTATCCTGCTTCATACCAACGATATTCCACCTCAAAAATAGATTGCTCTCACCCCTACCTTACGACTTGCATAACGTTACTAGTGCTTCGTTTGCTCTAGTTGGTGGGATATTTCGCCCCTGGTTACGTTCATAGCTTAGTCTAAGGGTGAAACGCAGGATACATTCTTTCAAGCCGCTCAAATAGATTCAAATGGTGCTAAACACCGTAATACGAGTGAAAAATTAGCCTGTTCAATTCTGGTGGTGTGGATGTATTTCGAGTGATTCCATGCACTCTCTGTTTTCAAGTTTTTATACAGGAAGGTACCTGGTCCTCTCTACATAGTAAACGTGTGTTTCCTAAGAAGCCTTTGGGTAATAGGCTCCTGGTCTCCTTTTCCTTTAGTAGGAGGTCTAATGTTAACATTTATATGGCTTAGTCTAGGAAAGGAACTTCGTCTGTAAAGTTTCCCTTGTTTCGGCATCATGTTCCCAAAGGCCGCTATGATACCTTTCTCAAATTTAATTCTGTTGCGAGAACCATTGGAACTACAGACGCTACAAAGCAAATGGCGTCTCAAGGTATTCCATAGGAAACCTTTTATCTATTCACCGGCACATCCTGTTGGATGTAACCTCGAGAAATCGAGGTCCATTTTGACAGCTGTCATGAAGATTGTCTTATTCCACATTGCGAGTTAATTCTGTGACGATAATCTCTTGATCTCTTATCGTATACTTATAGGCATATATATTCCGTCACTCTATTTGGCACGAACAAGTGAGATCTTTATCTTCGCTGGCCGTTGAAATGCCTTCTGAGAATCTGTTGTTATTGTCAGTAGTACTTGTCGTGCTAGTTCTGCAACTGTCGTCTTCAATAAGAGCTTTACTAAGGATTCCTGCTAACTTGGACTCCCATGTAGATCTATCGGTTCCACGAGTAAAGTCTATGTAACTCCTATCTAATATTGGAGCTGGTAGTCTCTCAATGCCTGCATTGTCGAATTTAATCACTATTAAGCAGTCGTCTCTGTTAGCCATGAGTCTTGTCATGGCGTGTTGTAATTCAAAGTCACAGGTATTACTGCTCATAAAATGGCTTGATACGACAGCGATAATCTTGAAACTGTTGTACACGCTTTCTACGATACTTTCTGCAAAGACCCTGCCAGGTAAAAAGTCCTTCCAGTGGATGCAACATCTGAAACCATAGCTTTCAAGGGTTGGAACAAGGGTTGTATCGACCCATTGTGAATCAAGCATACTGTAGATTATAAAAGCGTGGTATTTGAAACCTGTGGAATAAAAAGAGTGATTAAATTACCAAAACAAACGAAGAAAACAAAGTTGCGTAGAAAGGATGTATTGGACAAGACTGCTTGCCCGTCCGTGATTTATGGCGTAACACCAATCACTGGGGAAAACACTTGCACTTACAGTGCACTTATATTAAACTGTTAAAGCGTTATTGTTGGTTTTCACATGACGTCACTAAAATTCAACTACAAAACTATCGATCCTACTGAGATTTTACTTTCATGGTGTATTAGAGCGGCTGAAAACTAATTTTCATACAAATTTTCGCTTCAAAAGGGTTCTTGGTTTTGTGATAGAGTGCGCTTGACTTTCTAGGCTTTTGCGTAACGGCATTTACCTGACGGCCGAGAGAGCTGTCATGTAGGTTTTAAAAAAAAGGACGTATTTCCGGGAATTTTGCCATCTAAACAGTTCATGGTTCAGAAAAAGTATTACTTTATTGTTTATGGTTTCCTCGAGGAATAAATACACGCCTTTGTACCAAAACTCGGTAACAGAAGTTTTTGCTGGTTTCCGTTCGCCATGTTGGTGCCCATCCAGGTGGGCACCAGCATGGCATCTTCATGCAAATCTCTATAAATCTCTATAAATTCGGATATCTCGTATACGGGATATTCTTCTGGCCTGAATCTTGGCGAGGAGCTTGGTACATTTACCTCCTTTCATTTCCCAGATTCTGGACTTTATCTATTGAACAGTTTTGATTTTTATTTTGATCTATTTTGAATGGCGTGACACTGAAAACCAGCAATAGCAGCGCGTTAAAAAAAAACAACAACAACGACTACTACTCTGGACAAGCACAAAAATAAATTACAATAATGCAATTTCTTGGTTGAAAAAAAGAAAAATGTTTAATTAAATGTGATAATTTGAGAACCCATAAAAAGAAAAATAAATTAATAATAATTAATGATCTAGATCTTAAGAAGGTAGGGAATCGTTCACGCGGGGAGCGGGTGGCAGAGCAATAATAATTTTGGGCGAGTGGCGAAGCCGAGAGTCGAGTCTCGTTGGAGAGAAAGGGAAAATAATGCTTAAGGAAAATTTGTGGGGCAAACAATGGGGAATATTTAGGGCGGTGTGAAAGAGGTGGAATCCAGAAGCTAAGGCAATAGGGGTTCTGCCGTTTCGAAGAGGAAGCTACTAAACCTCGAATACAGCATTTTTTAATATACTCCTGTAGAAACCGAGGCACCTTCCGGTGACTTTTGATATCTATGATCTCAAAGTTCACTTCTTCGATGGAAGGTTAAATATTTGAAGGTGTCTCGGCTTTGGCCGAAGAAAGTGTTGATGGGATGGAAAATAACGAGGTCATATTGATAAATTATTGGTGATTTTTGTCCCTGATGCAACTCCTTTAAACCCTTACTTACGTTTTGGCCCTTCACCAGGCGTTTCCTTCAAGGTTTGTCTTTTCCACCGTCGATAAAAAAATATCACTGCCACCACAATTAAGACACCAGCCACGCCTCCCACAGACAAAAACACAGTTTGAACGATGCCTTGTTTTACCCCTGAGGATAAAAAGGGAAATTTTCAATTTCCAAAACATTTGTTTGAAAGGGGTTTTCATTCCTAATGTGAATTTGGTATGAACTTTCACGTAAACTAATTCAAAAAGAATAAGAGGCTCCTAAAGAGAGGTTAAGTGCCATTTTCCCAGCCTAACTTTTGTTCAGATCTCTGTGTTTCCTTCTGAAAGTTAGAGTGCCTAGAATCTCATTTTCCTTGTTTCATATGTACGAGGTCGACGCCACTTAATTTTATTGATATGATAAACCCGCGTGATCTATTTTAAACGTATCTGAGCCCTCTGCTAATTTAAAGGCGATGTGTACCAAGATATGAACTTTGAAAAGCTGCTTTTAAGGCTAACCAGTTTCCGTCCGTTTTTCAGTCTTCTTCGTATATATTCCTTCTTTTGCATTTTACTGGGTTTTCAATGGTTTAGTACTGGTTCCTGATTTATGTGTCTCGCTCAATGTTACGGTCAGTTCCAAGTGGCTAGCCCGTTCTGATTAAATGCCTTTAGCCATTTTTCCTTTACCCCTTTAACCCATTCAGAAAGGGGCGGGAGGCGTCTGAGCCTCTCTCCATAATTTTTAAACTTCTCCTGATACAGCCACTAAATTTACCCAAAATGATATTACTATTTTCAGTATCCAAGTACAGTTTAACTTGCACTTCGTATCGTTGACAAAAGTAGTGAAATAATGATGATATCATTTCTAATAAATCCACATATCCGTCATCTTGGATCTGTCATTTTGAACCAATTTAATTGTATCGCGATGCATTTACGTTGCTTAAAATCCTTAAATCAAGGCATGTGAGAAAAATAAAACCCCGACGTTTGTATCAACGGATGTTTTAGAAGCAAAAGAAATCTGACTTCCTGGGCAATGAAATTCCATGGGAAATCAACAACGTTGAACTGAGCTCAATATATCTCATTTAATTTTTTTTTTTCAGATTACGATCTTAAAAGCCGGAATGATATTCAGTTACAATAAATTTGGGAAAATGTCTGAGCAATGAAATTCCATGGGAAATAAACAACGTTGAACTGAACTCAATATATCTCATTTAATTTTTTTTTCAAATTACGATCTTAAAAGCCGGAATGATATTCAGTTACAATAAATTTGGGAAAATGTCTGCATATCCAATTTATTGTCTCGCATTTAGTCAATAAATTTATCAATCCTTTATCATTAAATTGGATCAACTTGGTTTTTGTTAACCCAGCCTGTTCTATATCAAAAAGTTTATCAAACCCTTATTATATAATCGTGTGTTATACGAAGTTTGCAAGAAAACTTAACAGTTTGCTCTTTAGACACTGATGGAGTCACTATTAAAAAAAGGAGATAGACCCGCTTCAATCAGTGGAGTGAAATTGGTGAAAACGTTTTCATATCCAATTTATTTTTTCGCATTTAGTCAATAAATTTATCAATCCCTTATCATTAACTTATCATAGCGTTCGTTAGACTACTTACCAGTGGGCTCTATAAAACAAAAGCAACAAAACATTACAGAAATTGTTCAGGGCCGGGGTGTTCGAAGCTGGGTTAAGATAACCCAGGGTTAGTGCGAACTTTGAACTCAAATATTAGAGGTTAAAATTCAAATTCAGTTCAATTCTTTTTGCCTGCAATTTGATGACTGGATACTCTAAAAAGAATAGAGAAATTATCCGAGATAGTGCTTTTGATGACAAGAAAAAGAAAGCCGGGTTAAAATTAAACCCTGGGTTAGTGATAACCGGCATTCGAACAACTGGAAAATAAGTGAGAAAAATATTTTTGCATGTAGTTTATTATTGTTTCAGATTTGACTTATCTAGTTAAAAAATGAACTTATGTAATCATAATAAACTTCCGGGGACGCGCAACCCGTCCCCCCCCCCTAGAAAAACGCTTTTAAGCTCGCGTCAACGGAAAACGATTTCTTTTTGCTAAATACGCTCTTACCTCGGCAAAGATTTTGTTGATTTATGCAATCATTGATCCCTTTGAATGCCAATTGGCAAACAACGTTGTCCTAATGAGGATGCTTTTTTGTAGGACCATTCTGATTCTAATTCAGTGTGGTAGGGAAGGGGCAGAGTTATAAGAGATGGAGGTTAAAAATGAGTAGATTGTGAAGAGATAGTAAAAGTTTCGTAGTATATACCTGGAGGTCCACATGGCTTCGATGGAAAAATGTTTCCCAAATCGGCTACTTCAAATCTCGGACGAGGATATGCCGTTACCTTAAAAAGGATGAAATGAAAAAGCCATTGTTGAAAACGCTCTTCCATTATGCGTCTTGCATTTGTACATAATCACATGTCCATTAAAGGGGCTGTGTCACGGCTGCCTAGCTCATTTTGTGTATTTAAGCAATAGATCACACTTTCTATGGGTTTACTGGCGTGATACCCACGCGGGATGTTGGGAGAACACGAGAAAAGATTATAATGAATCACGACCCGAAGGCGAGTGATTTACAAGTATTTGAGTGTTCTCCCAACATCCATATTTGTGTTATTTCCATGAATATAACAGAATTTGTTTCGCGTAAAAGGCTTTCTGATAGTCTGAATGGCCATTAACAAGTTTAGTTTGTAAAAAAAAGTTTATTTTAAATGTTTATGTAACCGTTTTTTTTTGTTTAAGGGCCTATTTACATGGAGGTGCAGGACCCCAGGTAGGTTTGGTAACATGTGGCGGGTCACCCCACCATAATGTGAACGTGGCCAAATTAAAATGAGAGATTATATGGACAACCGGGTTACCCCGCCTAAGCGGTTTACCTCACCTACCTGGGGTCCCCCCACGGCCATGTTAACAGGTCCTAACTCTGGCAGATATATTTACGTTTATGTCACTTACATTGACAGATATTGATGAGCATGGATGTTTCCAGCCTCTAGAAGAGTCGACAATGAAGTATGTTTGGTTCTTAGGAAGAAAAATTAAAAGACAGATTATAAAGATTTGTTAGTGGGCCATCGCAGCTTAATCAAAAATAAAACACAGACAGCGATTATTTTCTTAATCTTATTTCCAGCCCCCTTATCAATTTTGTATAAATAGTTTTGTCACAATATTTCTGTAACGGTCGCTTTTGGTCACTTTTGAAAATGAACTAGCATAGGAAACGTCAAGTTTATATAAAATTGCGAAAGTTCAGAATGATTATCACCGCTTTCCAAGAGAATTCAGGGATGTACTTTCCAGGGCCGTCGTTTGTAACACCTGTCATGGCGGAGCTAACTCAGTGTTGTGGTGCCTTGCTGCATGTACCGATATAGATTATGTTAAAGCAAAAGCAATAATGGAGCCATGCAGGCAGTAGAATCTCCTGAAGAGACTCCCAAGTGACCATTGGGGTCACGTGACTGGCGTAAGGCCCTTCTTTCAAACGAACCTTTGCTTTGCGGTTAAGCCCTCTACCATGTCAACAAAAACCCGCAGCGTGGTTTGATATAATGCTTGGTTCCTGGTGTTTGTTTGTCTTGTTACTTGCTGTTTTTTTGGTTTTGTGTTGTTTGTTTGCATGTTTGTTTTTGCTTTTGTTTTTTTTTTTGCCTGTGTTGCTGTGCTGGCGCATTTAGCAAGAACCGTGTGTTGAAAGCTGTCGACATATTATTAGAGAGCTCACACTACCCTATTTTTCAGTAAGATCGCTCACTAAAACGGGCAGCCATTTTGGTTTGATTGTAAGTGTAATCTGGGAAAAGAGTATCATATCTACTCTATATCAACAGGCCCAGACGCCCACCCCCTTGGTGCATATTAAACCAACATGGCCGCCCGTTACAGCAAGCTCTCGATCTCGTCCATTTCACGGTAAAAGGGGAATTGCAAACAGTCTAACTAGTGGGTTTTCCTTCCAAGCCAGATAATGAAATAAATTGGCCGGCACGTAAACATATTAAATCCCTTTTCTTGACACTTATATTGATATAGTTATACCTTTGGTAAAAGGAAACATCTCATGCCAGGGGAAGAACCCAGTGTACGGATGTCACCGATGAAGAGGGAAATCATGTAACCCTTCCAAGTGACCGTGGGATCTGTAGGATGGAAATTGAAAATGCTGAGTAAGATTTTTGCGATAACTATCACTAGATATTTAACAATTATTCCTCGAGCCCGAATGGGCTCTGAGTCAATAGCCCATGAGGCTGAAGGCCGAAGGCCGAATAGGCTATTGACTCAGAGGCCATGAGGGCGAGAGAAATAATTATTTTTAATTAGTAAAATCCAACTAGTTGGTCAAAAATATCGAGACGAAACAACTTTAGCCAGCAAAACGCAATGCAAAAGCCATTGTTTTGCGGCCCTTTTCGCTACTAGTGGGCTACATCATATAGCCTAGTAGTAGCTCAACCAATCAGAACGCAGCATTGATAATAGACCACTAGTTGAATTTTACTAAAAAAAAAACCATGCCATTCTTCCCAGACCGTTGGAGGACAGAAAATGTGGTAGCATAACATTTTTAACAGGGTGAAGTTCAGGGAAAATCATTCTGGCCATTAGCCTAGATTTCTGTCCCTAGTGTATCACTAATTCGATTCCCTTTGTTCTTTATTGTAAAACCTTAACTCCTGATAATATCGAAGAACTTATTGATGGATAGGTTTGACCACATCTTGGGTCAACTGTCACTCGTATGGCACTTCATGGTAGGGAAGGAGATGGGGCAAATTTGGAAATTTAAAATGGATGGATACTTAAAGGTACAAAACGTCTGTGGCACTTTTTTGCCCCCAGTTTTTTGCCAAATGTTGGCTATTGTAATAACAGTCTGAGTCAATCATACCTGTTAATGGCGACCACGATATGTTCACATAGGAAATGGTGTTATTATCTCCTAAAAAAGGCTTTGCTTTAATCTTATCTGGGTACCACACAAGCTTCCCATATTCGTTGTTGCATTCTAGAAAGACGGAATTGAGGTTGTATCAGTTAAATTAAGGAGGTCACTGAGTAACTTCCCTTAGCGCTTTTTAACACAAGCAGTGTTTCAACGGCATAATTGTTTGGAAAACTTATCTTCTGTAACAGAACTGTTTCAACGCAGTGTTTTACATTAACCATTGAAGACGGGAAGAGGTCATTTACTTTGCAACAGGTCGGAGAAACATTGTAGAGAAACATTATATATACGCCCGGTTCAGACATTTAAGCGATGTCCACACTGATACGGGATCGCTTTTCGTGCCGGCGCAAATGCTATCCGGTATAACATGAACGTACCGGTAACTTTAGAAAGGGTCATCTTACATGTATTTTTCTTGATGTAGTCGTAAAAATAAATGAAAAGAAATTATCGTACTTCGGAAAGCATATTTAAGTTGCGGTACAGTAAGAAATAGTGCTTACTGTTTGTTGGACCTTTTGAAGGCGCTGCAAAGGAAAATAGATACATATATTTACGATAATGAACAAGCCGTATTAAAAAAAAAAAACAGTCACGAACACAATGTTATGAAGAAAGTGTCCTCGTTTACTTTACCTGCTGTCGTAGTGGGTTTGAGCGTTTCTAGAAAACGAAAGAAATTGAAATAAATAACTGATTTCGAAGTGACTAAATTTAGCACAATTATATTAGGCGTAGACCGATTCCTCCTTTTGCCGATGGCTTTTGAGGGTAGACATTATTGGGTAAATCATCTTATGATGTATTTAAAAAAAACAGTCAGGAACACAATGTTATGAAGAAAGTGTCCTCGTTTACTTTACCTGCTGTCGTAGTGGGTTTGAGCGCTTCTAGAAAACGAAAGAAATTGAAATAAATAACTGATTTCGAAGTGACTAAATTTAGCACAATTATATTAGGCGTAGACCGATTCCTCCTTTTGCCGATGGCTTTTGAGGGTAGACATTATTGGGTAAATCATCTTATGACGTATTTAAAAAAAAACAGTCAGGAACACAATGGTATGAAGAAAGTGTCCTCGTTTACTTTACCTGGTGTCGTAGTGGGTTTGAGCGTTGCTAGAAAACGAAAGAAATTGAAATAAATAACCGATTTCGAAGTGACTAAATTTAGCACAATTATATTAGGCGTACACTGATTCCTCCTTCTGCTGATGGTTTTTGAAGGTGGACATTATTGAGTAAATCATCTTATGGCAGTTGCTTATATATTTGTTTGATCGGTGAACACTATCGCAGGAAAAAATAATATACCAAGAATGTCTTTAAGTATCCGCGTCTCGAAATAAACTTTGTAATAAACGGGAATGAATTTAAATTTCAATTTGCGTGCATATTTGAGCGTCGGAAAAATCTTGTTTCAAATTTCACCTTACTCCATTCAAGTTGATTTGCGAGATGGACTGAAGCGATAGGTGGCAAAACACATAAGGTGTCATAAGGAAGCTACAACGTAAAAATTTGAAAGAAAAAAAAAACCTATTTAAGTTTTTTAAATGATGGTAAAAAAAGAAAAGAAAATTCAAAATCCCATTCAGTCACATAACGATGAAGAAGGAAGGAAGGAACCAGCAAAACTCTGAAATCATTTACCAAAAGCTATAGTTCTTACGGCTTGTTTTACCTTTGTTCTCAGGAGGTTTTGAAGGCGCGGCAAAGGAAAGTAGATACATAAATTAAGGATAATGAACAAGCTGTTAGGGCCTGTGTACATGGAAGTGGAGGACCCCAGGTAGATGAGGTAACCCGCTTAGGTGGGGTAAAAAAAAACCCTCCTTTACATGTAATCTTACAACCCCGCCACCCCGGGGTGCACATTTTTAAGATTACTGAATGGTCGCTAAGCACGTATACAAGAACAATGCTGGCAAACCTCGTGTTTTGGCGATTAATGCTCTTCTACACTCACGTGCTGCTCTTGCTGCAACCTTCAGTGCTGTGGCTTTCTATTGCTACCTTTATAATGATGCAAAGCAACCGCCAAAATGAATTTTGCTCGAATTTGATGTTTTTGGAATCCGACCCCAGCTAGGCGGGTTACCCCACCTTTAAACGTTTACATGACAAAATTTGACCCCGGCTGAGAGGGTTACGCGGTCTGGCAGACCGGGCTACCCGCCTAGGCGGGTCACCCCACCTATCATGTAAACGTGATCTCAGTAAAATGAGAGATTAAATGGACCGGCGGGTTACCTCACCTAAGGGGGTTACATCACCTACCTGGGGTCCCCCACCTCCATGTAAACAGGCCCTTAAAAGAAAAAAAAAAGTCAGGAGCACATTGTTATGAAGAAAGTGTCCTCGTTTACTTTACCTGGTGTCGTAGTGGGTGTAGGCGCTGCTAGAAAACGAAAGAAATTGAAATAAATAACTGATTTCGAAGTGACTAAATTTAGCACAATTGTATTAGGCGTAGACCGATTCCTCCTTTTGCTGATGGCTTTTGAAGGTGGACATTATTGAATAAATCATCTTATGGCAGTTGCTTATATATTTGTTTGATCGGTGAACACCATCGCAGGAAAAAATAATATACCAAGAATGTCTTTAAGTATCCGCGTCTCGAAATAAACTTTGTAATAAACGGGAATGAATTTAAATTTCAATTTGCGTGCATATTTGTAGCGTCGGAAAAATCTTGTTTCAAATTTCACCTTACTCCATTCAAGCTGATTTGCGAGATGGACTAAAGCGATAGGTGGCAAAACACATAAGGTGTCATAAGGAAGCTACAACGTAAAAATTTGAAAGAAAAAAAAAACCTATTCAAGTTTTTTAAATGATGGGAAAAAAAGAAAAGAAAATTCAAAATCCCATTCAGTCGCATAACGATAAAGAAGGAAAGAAGGAACCAGCAAAACCCTGAAATCATTTACCAAAAGCTATCCATGCCTTTCTCGTGGTATTTTAAGTTTCCTATAAACAACAATGCTATGGTGTTTGCTTAAATAAGCCCCTTGTTGAAAAAAATTCCAATGCAGAATTATTGTTTAAAATAACTTAAAATGCTACACTTACAGAGTTTTGGTGGCAACATCCTTTGAGCATCTGAAATGTCTGCACGATATGGGAGGGCAAGAATCTAAACATACAGAAGGAAATAAAAGTTATTTGACATAGCTTTAGTCCCTGTTCATGGTCATTTAACACTTGTCACAAGTGAAATGAAAATCGCCTACTTGTGATTGCAATGTGAGATAAACAAGTAGCCAATTTTCATATCAAGTACACTTGATATACTTACGTTTACGAAAATAGCGTCTGGATATTGGTAGCCAAATGAAGAGATGTTTACTCTGAGAAATGTTTGGGTCTACAAGAAATAAAAAAGAGCGTCATACATTTTGAAACGTGCCTTTTCTTGGCCAAGAAAACAATGGAAGAAGAAGATTTTCTTCCTAAGTTAATTTGACCTTAAATGTGAAAATGCATGTTTTTCTGTTGCTGCCTGTTTGGAAGCGGTTATTGTACAACGCTAAGCAACAGTTGAACAGAGGCAACCACTGGGTTATAGCGGAGCTCTTGCAAGTAGCGGAGATCCATGGGTAAGAAAATTTGGTAACCTATGCATTTGGTAGCCACGTGACCGTACGCCCGCCCGCCCGACCGACCGACCGTCCGTCCGCACCACGGGCATACCAATGTAAAATAACTCAATCAACATACAGGTATGGCAACATGAGGTTATTTTGGCGGGAAATCGCATAGCCACCGGCTTCTTGTGTATAAAGGCAGAGACAACTAAAGATAGAGTCAATAAAAACGAAAAGGGAAAGCGGAAATTGTTTCTGTTTAAGTGTTGTCAAAGTATAAGCTTAGGTCAATATTATTGTCATGTCTACAAATTTGAAATACAGAGAAAGAGAGAGACAGAAAAAAGACAAAGAAGGCAACAGGCCAGAGAAGCTCAACGAGAAGAAGAGCGACAGACAGCTAGAGCGAGCGATAAAAGGCCAAACGAGACATTTTTTTGTCGGAAGAACAACATAAAAATTTTGTAGCGGCGGTGGGAAATCCGGAAATGCTAGCGGCCACCAAGGTGAAAATGAGCGCCAGTGACAAAAAATGAACAAGAACACGTACGACATTTCCTCCATAAAACGTGTAACCAGGAAGTTTCTGGAATTTTCATGTTGTTAGTCGTGCAAAACAAATTACTAATTAGACCTACTGTTGTTTTTCACCAGTCTCGTTTCCCACCACTTAGCATTATTATATATTTTGTTTGAGCAAACTATGAATATTAAGAGAGCTAATTAGCCCTGGTTAGGTCTGTATTACGGAAGGCAATGACACGTTTCCAGTCTTACCGGTACAATTGACAAAAAACGACTGGTTATTAAAAAGAATCCGAGGCTTGCTGAGAGACGCTTTGTGTTAGACCTCCCAGTCGCCCTGTTGTAGATATAACTGAGCCGTTTAAGTAGATATAGATAGATATATATTTTTTTATTATTCCAGCCTGTGCTATATGCCTTCTCAAATTTTCTGCAGTATTAACAGTGTTGAAATAATAATTCACTTAATTATTAATAATTATAAGGCAAATAAAAACGACTAGACGCCGTTTTAATAACTGTCTTTATTTGACCTTGCAAAGAGGTTGACTTATTATAGTCGACGCTAGACTGGCGTAATAACACATCCATTCTTACCGGTGGAAAAACAAAACAGTTTGTCGGGACCGGATTTCCATCCTTTAACGATATGATAACCATACGAACCAAGATGCCAGTCCGGTTTCCAATGGTGTCTAAACATTAACCATAAGATCAAAAAAGGGCCAAGTCAATCAACTTGTAGTGAAATATCAGTTTAATTGATCCTTTACTTTGGTGGCCTGAGGGTAAAACTAGAACTAAAGAGCTTAATCGCAAATTCTACCAGTCATGTAGAAGAAGGTGCAGACAATCAGTCAGCTAATTTTATTGTAGTTTTTGGACTAAGGAAAACTTATAATCTATCTGACTAATATTTCATTATTATTACATATTATCCAGAAGTAAAATAATAATATAATCTGAATAAAATGATGATAATAATAATAATAATAATAATAAATGTTAATGATGATGATGGTGGTGATGATGATAATAATAATAATAATAATAATAATAATAATAATAATAATAATAATAATAATAATAACTATATAATAATGATATCCTTAAGTTGCCATTTAATTAGATACGTCGACTTATAAAGGTCCCAGAGTAGACCTAATAAGACTCTAATATCCTCCATTCTCCATTAAGGTCTTAGTTAAATTGATACTACATCAGGTTCTAGACTTAAATTAATTAGCTTGCGGAAGGAGTTTTGCTGTAAGTTTTTTTTTTTTTTAAAAAAAAATGATAATTGGTGTTGTGCTCGGAAAGTCGAAAACCACACATGTTACTCTTTAACTTAGGCATCGAAAGTATAATGGAAAAGGGTTGGTTATCGTAATACGTGACAACCGGGCGTAACCTTGATTTCAGGTGGTTACAAAGGCTTGTGTAAATTGGTCATTCCTCGCTTTGCGGTGTGTTGATGAGAGTCAAGTAGGAATCTTACTATATTTTGATTTTAATTATTAAAATTGCAGTTAAATTACTTTTCTAAAGGTCATCTGCAAATAAGGAAAGTCTTACCGTTCATGGGACTCCAAGACATATTCACGTACCAGGAGCTTGAGTTTTCATATTGTCCAAAGCTTTCAGAAATCCTACTAGGAGTCCAGTCTAAAACTGACTGGTCTTGCGTGGAATCTGGACAGTCTAACATGTTAAAATGTTACTGTGAGTTCGCTACGAGCTTATATATTGGGGCTAAGGGCGTTTAAGATCACTAAGAAAATGAACAAAAATTGTCTCTGTATAAGCTTCATGAATAAAAACTGGCAACATGGAAAAACAGAATTTTAAGTAAGCGAACTTTTCGTAATCGTACGAGCCCTTATCCTGGGTGCTAGAGACTTTTCAAGCGTACGGCTGGTTTCCGATTTAGGTCATAAGGCTTCATAGCCACTCGTTGATTCGGTCTTTGCCCGAAGATGCGTCGGCATTGTGACCGACACCGAAGCATTCCGAGACAGAGAAAAAGCCTCTGGTACCCAGGGTATCGAGCCCTTGCAATTCTCTTAAAATGTTTACCTGTAGGTTGAAGGATATTATCTCCGGGTGAAGGGGATCGGTCGATCACTGAAATATTGTATAAATCAATAAGTGAATAAAAATAAGTTTCAACATCGAAGACAAGGTGAAGGAATTCGTGCCAATAATCACCTGTTTTCCTGTTCAAGCATCCGCGTAAACACAACTGCGGGGGAGGAGAAAAAATGTATAACAATCAATCATCTTATAGTTTATTTATCTACAAGTCGCCATCTCCAGAGCTGGTTAACAGTACATCTGTATTAACGTGCCGTAATAATAAAAATAAAGTTAAATCAGAACTGATTTATAATAAGAAAAGGTCATAATGCTTTCGCCTGATTTGATAAAAAATTAGTGGTTTTCTAGAATGAGGTGACGTAGTGAATTATTTCCCTTTCCTTTTCCTGCTAACTATAGCTTTGTTTTAATAGTTGATGTTCTTCATTCCACTGCAAGTTTTTTTCTCTCATTCGATAGTATTTTTGTCTTAGATTTGGTTATTAGTTCTCTCACTCAGCTTCCAGAGTCAAATATATGGCCTAACTTAACTTCTGTGTCTAGATAAAATCCTTCTTGGCGAGGCCGTTCAACCGGAAACCTCTGATGTTGTTTGTTTTTCAGGTTTTTGCAAAACAATTTAGAGATTTTTCGCTTTAAAGTATGTGACAAGGCCACTAGTTGATTAAACTGACTGAAACCGAGCAGCTGTATACAATGCATTTACTCAATTTTTACTTATTTCCGAAAAGTAAATTTGCATTTTTAGTAAACCTGAGTATTCATGTCAGCAAAACACAAAGTCACGATTTGCTTTGCTAATTGATCAGTAATATTGTATGCGCATTTAAGTCAGGTCTCGCGCTCATTCCTATATTTTTGACGTGCTTTCCGAGGGTTGTCAGCCGCAATAAGGGGCTGACTGAGTATGCCATTAAATTTCACTTAGTTTTCGAAAATCTCACGCAAGCAGCAAAAATTCATCTGCAATCAACGTAAGACAAAAAACAAACTCGTCTGTTGTATGGTGCGATAATTTTAAGTACTCCCGAGACCCATTAAATTCTACTTTGTTTCCGAAATCTCACACAAGCAACAAAAACTCTTATCTGAAATTAGTTTAAGACAAAATACAACTGATGTATGGTAATGGTGCAATAATTTTAGGTTGGTTATATCAGTCTATCTCCTGAGTTGTCTTTGTTTCATGTAACGTAAAGATGTCCAATTATAATACGGGTTCCCAGAAAAATGAGAGAGCTAAGTTCAATACTTAGGTAGCACTTTGCAAGAACTCAATCGAAGTCCGGCGAAAGGTTTTAAGTGCTTATCCAAACGCTCATAAGTGTTGGTTAGCTTTGTGTTTTAGGGACCCTCATCAGTAGACAAAAGATTTTACAATTCCTCTACAGTTGTAAAAGCGCTGACTTCTCATTTTAAACAAATTTAGGTTGGTAGAGGAATAACTAGGAAGAATATCATGCCTGTCATAAACGTCTACTAGTTGTTATAGACACCTTGCATCAGGTAGGCAGATAAGGAGTGATATTGCATTTGTATATGTATGTAAACATGAACCGTTTGTCTGCTTCGGACGTTCTCTGCTAATCAAATTTTCTAAATCAGATCTTTTATGTTAGTCGCTGCTTTCTTAGAAAATGGGAAAATGTGTTGCAGTATTTATCAAATTCAACATCATCTTAACTACGAAACACTGGGCTCTTTGACGGCTTAATGTTCTACAATTACAAAGTATGCTGTTCAAATGTTCTAAACTTAAGTTGTACACAAGTTTCCCTAATTTTCCAATATGATTGAATTTTATCTGTCCAAAAATCTAATAAAACCCTAAATGTTATGAATTTTTGGTCGGTTTTATCCGAAATGCTTCGCATGACCAAAATAATTACACGTAAGGGTATTGAGCGTAACTTGCAGTTTGAATTGTTTCTTACAAGAAAAGGAATGTGTCTAAAAATGCAGTCGCATTAAAAGATGGCATATCAGATCATACGGCTTTCATGTAGCAAAAACGAATAAATTCAACGTACCTCTTGGGTAGAAGTATTTGTTCGGGCGACATCGGCACATTTCCGTTGACACTCAGAGGGAGAGTTTGTAGGAATTTGATCCGATTCCTTAACCATTGCAAAAAAGAGTAGTGTAAACAGTCGTAAAACAATGATCCTGCTAAAACGGTTGCTTCTCGTCGGCATTGGGGCAGTATCAGCTGAAAGCTGTAATTTTTAACATTGCGCTAGACAATTTATGTGGCGAAAATGTTCGACCCCGTAATAAACGAAGCGTCGTCTTTGATTAAAATGCAAATTCAGTGCGAAGAATTTAAATTGTTGTTCTGGTCAGTGACTTAGTACAAAGTACTCTTACGCATATCCTCGATGACGGCAAATCCGCCACATTGGGGTAACCACGCAAGGTTAGAGACCACAAGAACATACAAAATGAGCCATAGCGATTTGCAATCTAGAAGTTTTACAGTATTGAGCATGAGGGAGAATGGTTGTTAAAGTAGCGAACATTAAAAATTGCAGAGGAAATAAAGACCATTCCATGCCCTCTTTTAGCGGGTATCACTCGGTTATGTTTCTGAGAACCAAATAATAGGTTCCAAGAAAGCTGAATGTAAATTTGGATGTTAATGTAGCTGTTGTTAGTAATTTGAATACTTAAACATCAGTGATCACTGGTAACAATTAAATCCTTTTAAAGATGTTATAAAACTAATTTGAATGTCGAAAATCTACATGAAATCCGTGAATTTATATTTTTGAAAGTTATGGCACGATTTTTGTTGTTGTTTGGTCTACATATTTTCGCTATAACTGCTGTGGCCCCACTGAAAACATTCATATTTCATATGGAAGCTAGATCAGACTTCAAGTCTATCTTCACGGCCTCGTTGTCGCAGTCTGGGCAATGATCGCATGTTTGTGCCCTCACTGCATACAGACGTCTGTAAAAATTAATTAGTAATTTTTTGAAGCTATATATCATCGCTATGTTCGAACGTACGACTTTCATAATAATAATTAAATAATAACAACAAAACTTTAATGGCTTACACAATTACTGGTTAGTCTAGTAGTTTATATTGTTTCAAACTTGGCGAGGTTACTAATTTAAAGCCCGCTGACTCTAGCAGTGGCTATGGATATTCGTTATCTTTTCAATGTTTTCAATACCAAAACAAAACTGCTATTCTCTGGGATCCTTTAAGTACAGTGGATTCTAGCAATGTTTGGCTGTCGAGAACCGTACAGCAAAAAAACACTAGAGAGATTAAGATTCACGTTTACAGCATACGGCAAACGGCAAACGTCAGTGGAGAATTTCTCAGAATAGAAAATAAGCAGTTAAAAAAGGTCCAGAACGATTCTTGTGGACAAAACTACCATAAAACTACATATTTTTGTGTAGAAGCAATAAACGGTAAACGAAAAATAGGGGGAAAACTTGGTCACGTGGTGCAAATTCACGTTTGCCGTTTGGCGTAAACGTGAATCTTAATCTCTCTACTATCTCAACATTTCCTTTAAAACTTTTATTTGCTTATTCATCAATTTTTTAAAGAAAACAAAAGTTATAGTCAAGTGTTACTGTAAATGATAAGTACAAATATCATAATTGCAGTGCTTACATAGAGTCTCAAATAGAATAATTCTACAAAAAAAAAAACAAACAACGGTGATAGAGAAGTTTTAATCGGCTACATACGCCTAATTGCAATAAATTTGTCATACGAAAGTCAAGAAAAAGAATTTTAAAAAGCTAAATAGGAATAATTTAGGTACGCACCGTACATTCAGAGGTCTCGGTTCTGGGAAAGAATGAAGAAAAGAACATCTTTAAAGTCACCAATTTTACTTCTCTCAACTCAGGATATGCACTGAAAATGAGAAAGATCTGTTTCAGCCCCAAAGTGTCAATTCAGCCCTGCAGGCCAAAGTCTGATTCAGCCTTTCCTGGAGCCATTTGAGCACAATTTAGGCCAAAAAAGCTCAATCAAAAGGCTATTCCAGCCCACGGTAGGGCCCATTTTAGCCCTTGGACCAAATCAGCCCTAGCTAATTGGACGGTATTGCCGGCCCTGATTTAAGGGAGCCAAATTAGACCCAAAAATAGGACTGTATTTTACTCACCGAAACGGCCCTGTTTTTAGGGCTAAAACAGATCTTTCTGATTTAGAGTGTGTTCTCACTATACTGGATAGCTTTCCGTGCCGCCACGAAAGGCTACCCAGGAAAGTCTGGACACACCTCTGACATGTGACCCCAAGTTATCCGCGCGACGTGTGAACAGAGGCCCTGTCTGGTATGGTTTTCGTGCCAGTGCAAAAGCGCCAATTGATGTCAAGTTGAAGTATAGTACTGTATTGCAAAAGTCGTTTTCAGGATCATAAAGATATCAAAACGTTATTTGCATGGCAAATTAATTATATTCGAGTTCAGTTTTCATAAGTGCTTTAATTTTTTGTGCCATTTTTTAGCCCAAGGATTAATTCACTTGTGCATACAATTTTCCATGTTTGAGAACCATTTGATTTCTTCCAAAGAAGCTTCTTTTGCAGCTAAAGTGACAGCAAGTGTTGATTTTTGAGTCATTTTGTTTGCAGTATAGCAAACTATGCACTTTCTCTGCATATTTCACTTAGTACGTGAATGACAATTCTGTGTAAGAGGCTAATGAAGGATTCTCTTTGTTCATTATCTCTACAAATATTTTTCTGGCGAATAAATTTAAATTTAATCATACAGTCTTTTTCTCAGAGTCCCTAGTGCTACTCAGAAAGTTTAAACTCGTACGGTTGAGAGGGTGATGGATTTGTTATGACTGTAAGAACATTTAAAAACCGCAGATATGATTTTGACGTACGATTCTGACAACAAAAAAGCAACAACAACTGCCTCGTGACTTATTAAGACGCAAGCCAGTGTACAATTTGCAATATCATAGTTTTCTCCTATAATCGTGGTACTACTTGTTTCCCACGCACACACAATAAATCAGGCCTCAGCTATTTAAAAGGTGGATGGCATAACCCACTACACGATATACCTCTAGGGTCGGGTGAAGCATGTTACAGAATTAGGAATGTACTGGGAAAATAAAAAAAAGAGCAAAAAAGCGAGCGAAGGTTTTCCAGAAGCATGAAGATGAAAAGCTGTCGTGATTGTGCATTTTTTCCTATTTTGGCTGCGGTTTGCGTAGTTTATGTGGTTTAACCACTAACGATACCGCATAAATATAAACGGCGGACTATAAAAGCTACGAACGCTTTTAACACTGTTTTTGGTTATACTTTATTTCACACACACCTTATTAACAATTAACATTTACATGAAGTCTATTTCCGCACGCAATTAGCAGGTGCGAGGCTGGCGTAGATACAGGGGTACACTACAGCAGTCAGTGGTAAATCACGAATAAATAAAAAATATACATAAATAAGTAAATAAAGCTTAAACGTAAATAACTAACATTTACAAAATCAACCACTTGTAACTTGCGAAACTAAATTAAGCTGTTTATACTGTACAAATTAAACTTTATAGTTCGCTATTTTTTGAAGCGGAATGGACACGTGATCATAATCGTCCTCAGCCTCTAATAACGAAAGTAACATGTCACTGATATGTGTTTTGAAAGCTGTCTTGAGGAGTTGACGGAGTTCATCGCAAATAGAGTTCCAAAACTTAGCTCCGAACCTAGCAAAAGAACCTTGGTTTTCATTCAGTCACAAACATGTAAGACTGTTTATGGTTAGGGAAATATTGGATGTCCTAGGAAATATGTTGGCTGTGCCAATCATTTTCGTTTTTTTTAATGAAAATCAGTATTCCCTTGCTTTTTCTTGTCTAACCAGGATATTTGTGATCACTTCAGAGATGTTTAAATAGACTGTTCCGAGTTGAGGGCAAAAAGAAAGAGATCAAAGGAGGTCAATTGAGATTTGTGTTTTGAAACGTCTTTTTTGCTCACGGCAAAGAGAAAGGCAATTGTTTTTCGACAGGCGAATGGATATAACTTAACATACTTATGAATAATTATTTTCAGAATATTTATTCTCACTCAGATATAAATTAATAAAACTAAATAGAGGTACCTTACATTTTTCCTAGCAGTTAAAAATGGCCTCAAAAAAAAAATTCTGCTTCATAGGATATTACTGTCTTCTGATTTGCTGGATGAGTTCTTAATGATTAATTAAGCCTTACGTCTTACTAGTCAGTTACTTCCCTAAGTTGCAAACACGTTTAAGTTTTAAGGGCAGTGGGACCTCGATTTAATGAAGGGCCGAGGGTAGTGGCCAAGTGCGTTCGCTACAACGACGTTTTTTTCCATATATTTTGTTATAACTTAAGTAGGGAATGCAGTATCGTTCGTGATATCGAGGTTAACAAGCTTGATATTCTCCAACTGAAAATTGGTATTAAGTATTTATGTTCAGTTAGGGAAGTGAAAGGAAGGTAATTTACCACATCAAAGTGCTTTTTCATGGGATCAGTTCGAACAATCGTACCTTGCCTGGGGAGCCTAATTTCTTTCGCTTGCTAGATTTAGGAGTACTCAGTAAAGACTCTGCACGAATGAGATCTTTGTTGAGTAGGCGCTGCTTGCTGCAAGCAGGATACAGACGTTTCAGCGGGCTCACTTATGACTATCGACTTATCAATAAACGGATGCTGGTATTCGAAAAACTAGTTTGATTACAGAGATAACAAGATTGACTTGTCCAAAGGTTTAGGCTCGACGGGATTCGGACAGAGCTTCCTAATTTTCTTCTCCTCGATCAAAAAGAAGACGAAAGGAAGTTCTACTTGTAGGGTTGTGAAATAGCTGTTTCGTTGCCACACCCACCAATCTGAAGCTTTATTCTTTAAGTAAATTGTTATGTGATTTTAAAGACTGTTTTCACTGATGCAATCCAAATCCGCTTTGCATCCTGCCGTCACTTACTGGAAGCATTACTGACTTTAGCAAAGTTCAGAGCTTGCTTTTTTCCTCAAGTTTGAATTTGTGGTTAAAATATTGAATTGGAAGGTCTTCAGGAGTCTACACATTTGACATTTTCAAGATATGCTTTCCTCCTCTTCGCTGGAAGTATGAAACTTACTCTATCAGCTAACTGAGATTTGTGTTGTGTTGCATTCAGCAAAGATTCTTCCTAAACTACACTATTAAGGGCGAATCTGAATTGTCGCCAGTAGTGCTGTTAACCCTTGCAGTTGTATCACTCCCATTTTTCCCATTGTCAGAGTGACATTCGGAGTGAAGTGGTGATTTGAAAAACTCAAGTAGATTCTTCTTCCAAAGTGGTCTTTGCAAAATATCATTGTAGTCTATCAAGCTTCTTTCCCTGAGTTCTGAAGGAAGATGCGCAAAGTCGACTCCATCAATTCTTATAACAACCAAACTGAGATCGCGATTGTGTACCTGTCGTCCTATTGCTACATCTAATTCATATTTACAGTATTCGCTATGCACAAAATTGTTTGAAAATAGGGCTATGACTTTGTGGCTTTGGTAAACACTGGCGGCCATACTGTCTTGAAAATTTCTCCCAACTGGAAAGTCTCTGTAGTGTATACAGCACTTTAAATGGTATTTTCCCTCCAGTAGTTTTAGGATCTTGTCGGCCCATGGCTGATCTTCGTTACTGTACGCTATAAACGCGTGGTATTTGATACCTACGAAGAGAAGGTAAATTAATAATAATACAGTCGAACGTCTACTGCGACTACCTTTCGTAAGCGACCACCTGCTCATGGGTCTGGCGAAGTCTTTAAGAGTGGGCGAGAGAGCCCCTGGGATGCTACCCTTAACGAACCAGTTCCATGACCCATTTGAATGCTAATGTCTCTGATTGGCATTCACTGCCGTTTATCCCGGCCCTACTGACCGCCCCTGGGTCTCCGAGGATGCCACCTGCTATGAGCGACCACCAAATCTTTTAATTTTCGGTTATACTGTAATGATAGTAGACTGCATTCCGTAACATAAACCTAAAAAAACAAACCTGCAGGCAACTCAATGTTCAGCTTTATTGGTCGAAAGAAGTACACCAACAAACCAGCAACTAGAGCAAGGCCAACCAGGATGCCAACGGATATGGAAACTGCATAGGCATCTTTGTTACTGGAACCTTGTAAGAAATAAAAAGTACCTATTTGTAGCAAATTATTAATTTTCAATTTATCCGATTAATATTTGTCTGATAGTCATTTTTAATTTCATTAATTTGCTCGATACTAATGTAAAGTAATTTTTTTAGAATTAGCTTTCTTATTAGTGATGCCGCCAATTACTTAAAAAAAAAACGATTTTGTATAAAATACCGTTTCGTCCGTTGAGTGTCCATCCGAGAGAAGATTTAGTATTGGTAACTGGAAGTTCAAGATATTAGTTGCAGTGAGTAAAACGTGTAAATAACATCCTTCGAAAGAAAATGCGTGCACTCTTAAGACTCGCGATTTTGTTTGGGAGTTATGGTTGTTTCGAAAGCCCATCACCTACTCTCCTTCAAATGAGCCTGAAATGGATAACGAAATCCTAACCTTAGCTCTGTGCAAGCACTATTAAAAATGGTATTTACCTGCAATTTTAGGATTTATAATGATCCCAAGCAGCTAATCATGAGCGTAAGCCTCTCTGATGATATTAGAGATCTGAGTCAAACTGGCAGTGAGCGCGGTGTCTATTGGTACTTGGTATCCGTTCCAGTTTTACTAGTTAATTTATATGGGCATCTAACAATTACGTAGATGTGGTTTCTATGGTAACTTAAGGGAAGATTGCAAGTCAAGGGTCAAATATATGGCTACTTAAAAAATAATGATTTTAGGGCGGCAAAGAAATATTGACAAAACGTAGTCATTGGTAATAGTTGATACTCACCATTTGCACTTGTTGTTGTAGGAGGTACAAATGGTGTAGTCGATTCCGTAGTCGCTATGAAATAATAACAATAGCAGTAGTAGAAATAATAGTAATAATAATAATATTGATAATGATAATGATAAATAGCGCCAACATAATAGTCGCTTTTTCATCAGCGCTGAAAGCTCTAAGAATGGAAAGGAAAAAAACTATAAGTTAGAATAATTATCATCGTTTAAGAAACCACGTATTCGGAAATCAAAAATGAATAAATTTTTTTAAACCTTAATTTACAGCAAAACTTAAAATTCTGAATTACACGTACATAACTCACAGGAATGTGGTGTAGAACGGGGTAGATCATAAACTATGTAATTAAGTCTGGATTTTGAAAAATTATTATAGTAAAACTTAACATTTCAAATTGCAAGTTAACTTACGAGGATATGGCGTACGAGGATATGGCGTATGACGTGTTAGTAGAGTTTCATTTACGAAAGGAACACCAATAACCTAGAAAGGCGGAAGAAAGCAAAATAATTCAATTACGCCTCAATGAATACTGGAATCAAAATAATCAAAATTTCATGACCATAAAATTACTCCTTTTTTTCTCTTGTTTCACATCCACTGTCGATTCTGTCGATTATATCCAATGGATTTCAAACATATTTCAAACTTTACCTCAGATATATACGATTCCCAGACTGGTCCCGGGAGAGTTAAGGTAAAGAATTTATATATGACTATTTATATAATTAGGAGGAAAACATTCCTGTTTAATTTTCAACATGATGACTAATTATCCCAAGAGAACTACTACCTTCATGTTTATTTATTTATTTTTTGTTTGTTTGATGAATTTTAAGGAACTCAATGGGAGCAGAAATCACGAAAAGTTTCCATAGTTAGGAACGGGTATCACTTCAAAGATGGCCTCAGCTCATTTTTACCATGTTTAGCCGAAATTCCTCTGCCCCCTCCTTCTCCTCTCAAAGGTTATATTGGTTTTACTGGTTATATTTTTAACTACCTTTTTGGATGTAAATTTTCAACATTACATTTGAATACTTATAGAATGTTTTTAAGGTTTTCATTAGGAAGTTTTTTTCATAGGGCCAACCCCTTATTAAACTCCCTTTTCAAAGCATTTTTTGTATATATTTATCTTTGTTTTTGAATGCTTTGAATAGACGTATGTTAGGTTTTTTTTTTAATGTATGTATATGTATACCATGATGATTGGCTTTTGCTATAATAACCTCACGCGAATATAAATAATAACGACGAAGTAATACACTTAGTGTAAAGTTAACGTAATTCTACTTGCCTTTAGATAAACTGGATTCCCACGACTGTAGTTATATAGTGAGGAGATGTCAATGCGGAAAAATGTCGCTGTCTGAAACAAATGAGCTTCAGTGTTAGCTAAAATCAAAATGTATATTTCTTTTTAGGCTGATTATTACGCTTGCTACTTCGTCAAATAATCATTATACTTTCAATGTATTGAGACAAGAGACTATAGTCTCTTGATTGAGATACCCATCTGCCATAATTTTAACTTACTGTTAAAGGTATTAACTCCGTGCTCGTATTAAAAGTGTCCCCTGTAAAATGCTTTTTTCTTTCTTTTTACTATACACCTACTTTAAAAAGAATAAATTAAATAAATTCCAAAACAAGTCCAATTATCTCTTGGTAATGCAAATTTTTTTTAAAAAATTAATCAATCAAAAGGACGCGCACAAATTTTGAGCTTATTTGAAACATGTTCTAGCGTGAAGTCGCCTGGGAGAAACGTGGAATACAAAATTTTCTACAACTTCATTTTGGAAAAGTACTTAATTTACAAGAAAACCACTAAAAAGAGTTTTTTTTAGCAAGAATCACTAAAAATTTGGTGCGACCTATAACGAATTCACCAAATCCGGTACAATCTCATTGCTAGTAAGAATGAAAACATGATGACTGTAGCATAAAGCAATTATTTAGTTAGCAGAAATTACGAGACAATCCGTTGCATTCGACCTGTCTGCATTTACTTTACGTCGTCAAATTACATTGAACAGCATGACCGGTAAAAAGAATCAGGATACTGCACAAACCGATTGCACGATCTAAACCGAATCGCCCAATATGCATCTTGATGAATTTTAAAAGAATACTTTAAATTGAGTAATTATCAAACTAATCACCGTTGAAATTTCCAGCCGTGGCGAGTCTTGGTTCTGAACTATTTTGGCCTGGCTTTGTTTAAATGACTGCGTAATCTTTTTTGCTTGCTTGTTTGTTTCAAATAAAGTAGTTCAATTCCGTTTTCTTTCTTTCTTTCTTTCTTTCTTTCTTTCTTTCTTCCTTTCCGTTTTTTGTCTTATGTAGATACGCACGTCCTGAACGCGAATAAATGAGTGAGCTCCTTAATTTCCTTACCTTAGACAATCTAAAGCAAACAACTGGCTTGATGAAAGAATCTCCTTTATCGATCTCAAGGTGAATCACGATGCCATTTCGTTGGCCATGAGGATCTGGAAGGTATAAAACAATTTGGAAGGTGAGATTAATGTTATGAGACTCGTCAAGGCATGTGCTTACCCAAGCATTGGTGGATCCAGGGGAGGAACCCGCGGGGGCGCAGCCCCCTCCTTAGTTTTAGACCAAACTTATGGCCGAAGGGTCGAAAAAAATTTTTTGGACACCGGACTCCCCGCTTACCTCAGGGTTTGGATGACCCGGGGCCCCCTCCTTATCTCAAGGTCTGGATCCGGCACTACCAAAGGCATTTTGAGTTCCATGAGCAGATCAAGCATCTCCAAATCCAGCTTGCGTGGTTTTTAGTCCTGGTAAAAGTCGTTTGGGGCGGGGGAGGAGTAAAAAGGCCGCGTATTCAAGGGTTTTATGAACTTTTTTATTTGCATCCCTTTCTTCCCAGCCCTCCTTCGCAGGCTAGTGTCTACTTGCATTAAGCTCATTATAGGTTTAGATTTCATTTGTCAATCATTCATATCTATATCACAGAAACTCTTCTATGGGATTTTCTTACCTTTCATAGACGTCCATGAGCAGTTAATGTACCACTGCTCAGAGTCAACGTATTGTCCAAACGATACGTTTACTTTTGGTGTCCAGTCCGGAAGTGGTGCCGTTGGTGAGTTTAGGGGGCAGTCTGAAACACATTTTCAGCCACAACTCCTGCATTATTAAATCAATTTTTACCCTACTTCTAAGACTTTTTAATGATGCCGTTCAAAATCCCTCTACCTAGATCATTCATAGTCATCGATCGTCGGAGTAAGTCATAATATTTTCACGGAAATTTTCAATTGCTCAACAAAAGATTTTTGCCTTCTAAGAAGTAGGAAGGTACTTGATGTACTACAAGTGTAACGGCTTTTTTTTTTTTTTTTTCGTGTAACTAAATGTCAAAACAACGACATTCGTTGAATAAATTTCGATCCATTTTCTATTAATTCATTGAACTGAAGAAATGATTATTTTCCAAGGACAAGTACGCGTATTATTCTGGTGAGAGCAAGGTTCCCAGCAGGAAAAAGTGAGAACGAAGAAAGTAACACCTTGGAAATGTATAACCCTCAAGACTGATGCATTCAAATGCCGATTGGATTGAGCATTTATTTCAAGTCAATTTGAGATGTAGTGAGCAGCAAAGAAACAATACTTAGAACTTAAGATCCCATTTTCAATCGAAAATTAAAGTAGCTGAAGCAATGATCAGAACCTACCAGAAGGTTGTGGTTCCTGGATGGATTTTCTTTTGCGTTGTTTATAAATGACGCTTTGTTTGATTAAATCATGATGATCTGTTAAGAGAAATGATAATGTTGATTAATATAAGAGATATGGTGGTTGTAGCTAAAGCCATTTCAAAGTATTTCATCTTTCATAGTGAATAGATTAAGAGAAGAAAGACTCCGGCAGTCTTTCTTCTTATAGATTTTGAATCCGCCGTTCAAATATTCCCTGATATTCCAATCGGCTTTTATGAGGAGCTGATAGAGCTGGTCAATTATATTTTCAGTTACTTACAATACGTTTCAAAAACGCGATGGCGTAGTCAAATATACCCAGCCGACATTATGCGCCCCAAACAACGGTACTTCTGATTGGATGAAGCTTCAATCAGTCAATCAATCAGTCAATTAATCAATCAGTCAGTCGATCAGACACACTTCCCAGATGGAATTTGTGCCCGCTTTCCTTAGACGTCATTCCACGTAGAACCGTTGGTGGCGTTGCAAAAGGTCGGCTGTTTTTCTCAAGCTACCGATAACGCAATTATGTCGAGTACGCGTACTGCAAATGCGTTCACGGTTGAGAACATAAACATTACTAAATTAACAAAACAGTAAAGACAAAAGCGACACTTGAGGTTTCCCGATATTTCGGACGGACCGAGCCGGCACCTCGGGTATTCCCATAATTACTGTAAATTCATGACCTTTTATCCTCCCCCTCTTATGAATTAAAAAGATCCTGATTCTACAAAATTCCAGTTGGATTGAAATACACTCCTTGGAGCCAGTTTTTACTATTGTTATTGTTATGTTTATACATAATATTATGTAATTGATAAATAGCCTGAGGAACAAAAAGGAATATGCTCCAGCCTGCAAACCTATATTGAGCCTCGGAAGTAGTGAGGAATAATAATCATTCAGTAGCACATACTGCAGACTATGTCAAGTTACCTTTGCTTCCTTTCAGACAGTCGGGACAGAAGAGCAATTTACGAGAAATCTGCGGAGCAGAATTAAACCACAAAAAATTGATGTAAGTGAGAAAGAAAAGAAAGAGTCACGAACCTCACTGTGAGTTGCTCGTTAAGCACTTACTCAAAAGGAAAGAGCGTCAATCATAGAATGTCAGTTTGAATAGTTAGAAAGAAGAGCTCTGCGCCGCGTATGAAGTTTCGATTTCTTTTTATGAGAACTGGAACTTGTTTTACGGATGTGAACAGCTATAGTGTTACAAACTGAGTCAATAAGCTCGACAAAAACATAGGAAAGAAAGAAAGACAAATAACAAGACATGCAGTAAAGTGTATTTTTTTAAAACCCTAAGAGACGTTCATTGAATAAACTAAAAAAGGTGTTATCACAACATCTTCTAGTAGTTCTTGGAAAACGGGCAGAACATTTATGAAAATGACGTCACCAGGTAATTTTGCAAGCTTTTCTTATCTCCTTTCCACAGAGCAATGATGCGAGTTAAGTTACTACTTTCTGGACGGATTCTTTTACGGACTTGTTGTCACCTTCTCCAAGTAATGAAATTTTAGTTACAATAGAAAAATTTGATACCAACAAATTGGATTCTCATAATATATTTCGATACAGTGCAATGAGTCGCAACAGAGCCGTTTGTTTATAGCCAATTAATTGCCGGCAGGTGGTGGGCCAATGTTGTAAACAAGACAACCTACCCAACGGACTAAAGTGCGAGTAAAGTTTGCATTACAGATATTAAACTTGAGCTTTCACGGGTTAACGTAAAAATGTTTCCAATATAAGTTCTCCATCGTTATCTCCAAAAAGGCATTTGAAAAAGCAAGACATTCACGCATTATTACACCGAAGGAATTCTTTTATTATCGGAATATTAAAAACAAAGCACGAACGGACACGAACTGGGGTCTTTATTCGTCCACCAAGCCGTCCTCGCTCGGGGATCCGATAGCCTAATTTTTATTCAAACTGTTTTATTTCCCTCGAGTGTAAACGTATATTCGAGTTCAAAACTACTGCTCAAGCCGAGACGTGACGGAAAGCAAGGCCTGTAATAAAGCAAATGGGTTTTGACTGACAGCTATAAAAACCTACTCAATAGCTCATTAGTATATGCAGCATAAACGACTCCTTAATGTTTACTGTTAAGGACGTTCAAAATTCAGCTAATTGTAGTTTCTTACGCCTGATCCACCAAAAGTTAAAACTTAATCGTGTTTTCAGACTCTAATCATATTTCTCGCAGTTTACTGATCTACCATTTAGAATCACGTATGTACTGTTACAAGAAAGACCGAAGAAGTTTGAACTGAACAGGCCTGCGAATCAAAATATACAAACCAGCTCATTAAGCCATCATGATATCGTTAGAACCCGCGCTTTCTTTCTAATCAAAGCTGAGCTTTCGTAATCAAACTCATTCCCGAAACTTCGTTTTATAGCTGGGCTCGTGATTTTCGTCGGTTGAAACTCCGATAAAGCTCCGTGGATTTACCCGAAGCAAAGACTGGGAACAGAAAGTTGTTTGTTGATCAGCAAATTGATCGAGCTCTTACGGTGTTATCGTGCCCACAAAAAAACAGCTACTTACATGTGCTCTCATCCTTGTTTTGGAGCTTTCTTCTCGAGTCAGGCGACATAAGCGTAGACAGTCTGTCTTTTGCGGAAAAGTTTCAGAAGGTTGGATTGAAACCACAATTAACCAAGCTAAGAATACGATCAAAACGATCTTGCGTTTGCCAATTGTAGATCGCTCTCGTGTTGTAATAGTGCTGGTTTCAACCATTGCTACCAAACGATGCATTTTGTTGCGTGAGTTTCTCTGAGGCGAATGACTCCTTAACGAGCATGATAAATTCAGTTGCCCACTTTGCATTTAAAATTAACGAATGTGTCTGTATTTAATTTTCCGCTCAATGGTGCGAGTCATCTCTGAGTAATTATTTATTTTGTATAACACGACAACCCACTGAGAGGCTTTCAACAGAAGGCCTTTTTTAGGTTCTCGGATCATTTTACCATGTCGTATCCATTTCGTCAATTTAGTGTTTCCGGTGCATACAAGTTTTGTCGTCCAGACATAACTAAGTGTACATTAAAAAGTAAACAAACCATATAAGCAAGTACGTCAGTTTGTCAGGAAGTACGTAAGTATACCAGGTACGTCGGCAGGTAGGTAGGTAGGTGGGTAGGTTAGTAAGTAGGTAGGTGGTAGGAAGGTAGGTGGCTATAGGTAGGTAGGATGTTAGGTATAAGGTAGGTAACGTATAGTAGGTAGGGAGGTAGGTAGGTACAGGTAGGTAACTTACAGTAGGCAGGTAGGTAGGTGGCTAGGTTAGTAAGTAGGTAGGTGGTAGGAAGGTAGGTAGCTATAGGTAGGTAGGTAACGTATTGTAGGCAGGGAGGTAGGTAGGTAAGTAGGTAGGTAACTTACTGTAAGTAGGTAGCTAGCTAGGTAGGCATAAGATAGTTAGGTAGCTAATTAGGTAGGAAGGTCAATTGGAGTAGTGCAATATCCAGATAGAACCCATCGTCAGATTATACGTACAGATTTTTGGAGCAGACGGAGCTAGAACGTGGAATTACCGACATTATGTTGCTGTATGTCGAAGGGTAACATTGCTAGAACGAGGACTTTGTTTACCACGCAAGATTTTGTTATATACTTTATTTCGATCAAATCCCCTCTGAACGCGTAAAGTTACTGTTTTCTTAAGTCTCATTGAATAGTTCTCTATTGGAGAAGACAACTCACGCAATTTCAGTGTGATCAGTTATCTCTTGCGGAATTATCCTTTGGGAGCTGTGTCACGATTTCATTAAAATATCCTTTTCATATCAATACCTTTGCGCTTAGCGTCACTTTGAAACAGAGGTTTGGGGCAACTCGTAAATGGCTGATTACAAGTCCCTATTCGCAATAGAATTAACTTAACGTTAGCGAAAAAATACTGGAAAATGACAAAATTACAGCTTCTTGTCCAAAAATGTCTCCCAACCATTTTTAATTGTTAAACGTTACAAACGACAAAAATGGAGGAGTAGAAACCTTTTTAATCTTGTTTATCTTTGTCCATCTGTGTTACGTACTGCCTAGTCCCCGTACGGTGTTTCCCCAGGCCTTTGAGGTCAATTCACTTCGGTGACGTATCCGAGGCGAATGGGCGGGAAACGCCCTCGCTTCTTTGCTCGCGCCTCGTGACCCGAAGCGCATTGGGCGTTCGGAATAATGAGGCCTAGGGACTAGGCAATGTTTTTTATACCTCCTTTTAGTGATTCAGCACAGATTATTTTTCTTGTTATACTCTCAATTTGGTGGCAGTTCTTGCTGTTTAAATTTCCATAAATTTTGTGACTGAGCTCCCTTTAAGTTCCCGCTCACATGTCATATGATCCCTACCGGGTATACCTCAGTCTGCATTCATCTCTGAATTGTGTTCACTTGACTCTTTTCATCAAACGTTACAAACATCAAAAGTGGAGCAGCTGCAATCCGTTTTAATCTTCTTTATTTCTTTCCATCTGTGTTACGTATTGCCTAGTCCCTGTACGGCGTTTTTCCAGGCCTTCTCGGTCAATTCACTTTGATGACGTATCCGAGGCGAGGTAATGTTACTTATACCTCCTTTTAATGATTGAGCACAGATTATTTTTCATGTTACACTCTCAATTTGGTGCCAGTTCCTGCTGGCTACATTTCGTTAAATTTTATGACTGAGCTCCTTTAAAGATACCGCCGATATGTCATATACAGTAATAGCCCGCGTATAAGAACCTGAATTTTTCAATTTAGCCTAAATAGGTTCTTATATAAACGGTACTTAAAGCAAATTTAGGCTACCGAGGTTCTTAAAATAGGTTCTTATATTTTCATATGAATTTCATCTGAATATACTATATATATTATAAATATCATCTGATAATACAGTATAAATCATTTATTTGTACCATAGAGCAATGCCTATAGGCAGTTCAGTGCAGGTACAGCATATGTCCTAGATGATGATCTTAATTCAGCAGTTTCTACCTATACACTTTTACAGCAACCCCACTGATAAGAACCTAACTTAAAATTTTAGCCTAAATAGGTTCTTATGTGGAGGGGGCTTAAAATGAAAATTTTAGCCTAACAGGTTCTTAAAACCCAGGTTCTTATACGCGGGCTATTACTGTAATCCCTACAGGCTGTACTTCAGTCTACATTCATCTCTGAACTATGGGGACTTGGCTCTTTTAAATTAATTTGTGTCCGTATTGTGTCCGAGCTGTTTTGACATTGAGATCGAGTGCAAATATTCGAAAGCTTGAGGAAACATTTTGCTGGTGAATGATCAGCTAAAAATGCGTGGCCGATGCAAAATCTCAAGGTAAAGGATCTGAACTGCAGACTGGCCTAATTTCACACCACTTTTATTTTCCTCCTTTATCATATATGTTTTAAATTTACAACCTTGTTTAAGAAAATATGCGATAACCGGGTAAGTAAAGACTACGCCAGCCGGGTGAGCCTGCGCTTTGCTTTAAGTATTCGTCAATATTCAGTAACACACGCATGTATAGGCTTGGTATCAGTCACCATCTGGTAGCTGAGGTAGGGACTCAGTAGTGATACTAACTCTCTCGTCATTTGACAAGTAAGTGCTATCACTCAAGAATATATGCAATTGAAAAGGCTCTTTAAACGGTTTCCTTTTAAGCTGGTCCTCAGTTTCAATTTCCGAACCATCACGCAGAACTTCCAAGTTTGAATAATGGCAGAAGGTTGCGCGTGAATGATGATCTGCCAATTTAAACATGAATATGAAATGTTAATTATCATTTCAAGCATTTTGCAATTTGATAGATCTTGTTTCAAGGAAAATGACATCGTCCTGTGATCAGTCCTGTACGAATGTTTTGTGGCTAAGCCAGTTTAGCAGTTGTCTGTCTGTCCAAAGACGTTTTCATGTTATTGTGATTGTAAATGCGAACAAAAATCTTAGAAGTAAGGTTTTATAAAGTAAACGAAAATACTGTGAACTAGATCTCGCTTGAAAATAGATTAGACTTCCAGGTTCAGTTCTTCATTTGGCAGACTAACAAGGGAGACTTCTGTGTTATTACTAGTCGTGCTGTTGAGCCTGTTGAAATTCTTTCTCAGTTCAATCGAGTTGAAAGACGGAAAGGCAGAACCTTCAGCTTCATTGTTGTCGACATCTTGGTTCTGTACTGCAATTGCGGATCGATTATCGCCATCCTCGTTTTGAACATTGAGAAACCTTAGCAGTTTTTCTTCCCAAAACGGTCTCTCTAGGACATTACAGTAGTCGATAAAATTTCGCTTGCGAAGTGTCCGGGGAAGTTTTTTGCTATCTGCGTCATCAATTCTTATCATAATCAAACTGTTATCCGCCCTATGCACAAGGCGATACTTAGCGAGGTTTAATTCGTAGTTGCAATAGTTGCTCTTCAAGAAATTACTTGACAACACTGCTATGATTTTGTAACTCTTGTAAACAGTTTCTGCCATTATATCATGGAAAGGCTTTCCAGGTTCAAAGTCTCTGTAATGTACGCAGCACTTCAAATGATGCTTGTCTTCCAGGAGGGGAAGAAGCTTCCGCACCACCCACGATGAATCTTCTTTGTTGTAAATTATAAAAGCGTGGTACTCAAATTCTAAAGTGATAAACAGAAAAATAAATAATTCAATAGATCTGGATTGATTTACTGTGTTACAACCACACCTCAATGCTAATCGTTTCCAAGGGAGAACTGCCAACTGTTTGTAGGGGTTTTCCTTATGACAACAACCTTGTCATTGACGTTTGCAGACATCTGGCTGTTTTATGGAATTATTACACAACGTACTTAATGTGAGCGTTTCAGCGACCTTCCAACTCTCGCGGTTTGACCGTAAGACTCATGGTTTGGGCTTTCAACTCACGGTCTCACGATTTGGCCTACAAATCTCACGGTGAATTAGAAAATCTTGAAATTGACGAACATTTCCGGTAGGAATCGCGTATTTTTTAAAAATCTCTTTTCATTATGTATATCAATCTAATTGTTGGGGGAAACATGATTCCTGGGTTGATTCCCGTAAAACTTAGATTCCCTAAGGTCTATTGGAAAGCCTTACTGCAATCTCAAAATGGCTACTCCCCGTCCTATCGACGTGGATAGTGAAACAGAATCTTCTCATCAGTAGTATGGTAGGGATGTTTTAGTCCTCTTTCTTGCGGTTGAATCTTATTATCGTGCGGTGGAATGTATTAACGCCGATGGCGTCATGGCCTTTTGGCCTTATGTCGGTAATAAAATTCGGCGGAATCTCGTAAGATAAGGTCATGTGCTAAAAAAGTGCGGAGGAATCTCATTCTCACATTCTTTGTATTCTTAATATAATAGAAACAAAGGACCTGCCAAGGCTTGCTGGAACCGGAAGTAAAAGTATGATTGTCGTTTATTGAAGGAATGAGCGGTAGCTCTCCTATGACCTCAAATCACTTAGCTGTAACGTAATTTTCTGCCACTGACACTGTCCTCTTTCCGGTTCCATTATTCTTGGGGCGCAAATTGTGCATATTAATGAGGGCGAAAGCAAACCACTTCTTTTTAGAGCGATTTTTTTATTTTTTATTTACCCTCCATCACATCGACCCCACTTCCACTCTGCATCGACCTTACACCGGCCCCACGTCGACCCCACATCCACTCTGCATCGACCTTACACCGACCCCACATCGACCTTACATCGACCCTATATCGACCCCACATCGACTCTACATCGACCCCACATCGACCTCACATCGACCACACATCGAACCCCATATCGACCCTACATCGACCTTACATCGACCTTACACCGACCCCACATCGACCTCACATCGACTCTATATCGGCCTTACATGGACCCAACATTGACCCCGCTTTGACCCCACATCGGCCGGCCTCACACCGACCCCACACCGACCCCATGTCATCGACGTTTATTCCTTGCACACCATGAATTAACCAATGAGAACGTTTCGTGTTTTCCGATTAACCAATCGAAAACCAAAACATTTATCGTTCTTGAAATAACTAGAAAACCTGTCAGACCGGTTAAATCACTAAAAGAGTAACACATGACCACATCTTAATGAGATTCCTCCGCATTTTATTCATGACATTAAGACAAAAGGCTATGACGTCATCGGTGTTAATGGGTTCTCCCCCAAAAAAAGGATAATTCGGTCCCTATCATACTACTCTCATCGCTACCAAAAGAGCAACAGGAGAGTACAACAAAGGCCACCAATAAAGTCGGAATACCATGACAAAAATTATTATCTGCCCTCTTGGTTTTATGTGACACATATTTTGGAAATCTCCAGGTTTTGGGGGACTTTTTATTCAATCACTTCAGATTTGCATGCTTTAGGGTTTGTAAGGTCTGGAACCTATATACCATGACCCTCTATTAAGCTTAGCTCATTTTTAAAAACATTCCGGCGATAAGAGTTAACGATCAGCTTAACAGTAACACACCTTTATAAGGCACTTAAAGCATCTGATTTAATATGTTTTCGTCTGCTACGCTCCCTTAATTGGCTATAAACAGGCACACGGAAATACGTGAGGTATCATTGGGTAAAAAGAAAAAAAATCCCATTTTACTTAAACCCTTTCTCTCCCCAAGCATAACGTTAATTTATTGGATACATGTAATGGACAAAATCCTCCTCATTTGCCATCCAAAAGGGTAATACTATTAAAATTGAAACACTTGCAATTTTTCGGGATTCTACAAGGGGAAAATTTGGCAAGCTGGGCGGTGAAAGCATGATTAAGAATCAATAAAATAAATAAATAAAATATTCATAGCACTAATGAGCAGATGCCTGAAACAAATAATCTAAATCCAACTTAACAGGGTTAAGAATACCAACTGGCCGGAGGCCAACCAGCTGGCTATTTACAAGCGTGGCCGAGGATTTGAACTCGAGACCCAACTAGCGGCCAAAGCGGGACTTGAACTTGGGGCCTCCGAATTGCAAGTCCAGGGCTCTAACCACTCGGCTACGCTACCTCCTCCCGTTCTTCGCTCTCTTGAAATCTTGTACAAACCTTCGGGCAACAAAATGGTCTTCCTTTGGCGCAGACAAGAATACTTGAGTGAAATGACAAGACATACAAGGACCATTCCGACCGCGATGCCTAACGAAATCGATACGGCATAGACGACTGTGGTGTTATTTGGATCTGCGTATCGAAAATGTTAAGATATCAGGTAAAACAGATTAAGACAATATGCTCCACCGATCAATTTGTGAACAGTTTGGCAAACACGTGTTGCTTGCACAAACAGTGGATGAATCTTCATACACAATTAAAGCAATGCCGTTGTAGAGATTACAGTTTTGTTTCCCAGGCAGGGCGCCCTTCTTTTTCAATCTGTTTCCTTTCCTTTCTGTTCTTTGCTTTCCCGCAACATATTTACCTTTAGTTCCTTAATAATTGGTTTAACTGAAAACCGTTTTCTACTCTTTTTGGATCAAAATTTCTACCCGTTTAATAATAGCTAATGACATTCATCGATTGGCTATTAGCTAACAGGACAAGCATATTGCCTACTCCTTAAGCTTACCTTTCTCCTTAGTTGTGGGACCTTGTGGATGCTTGGTGGAAAAACTTGGAGGGGTAGTAAATACTAAACATAAACAGAATATCATATGTTAGTATTGTACATTGATCTCTTGTAGTGTTATAATGAAATTAGAATTAATAAGACATACCAGCTTCAGAGTAAACTGCCCCAAAAGGCTGTTTATAAGTCGAAATCATTTCCCTGTTCTTCATAGCTGGATGTACTGATTTAAGGTGGTTGAGTATTTTACGTTTAACGTCAGTCGTAAAACAACAATAAGAAAAATTATTGGACGATTGACGACACTGAACGATAGCGGAGCGGTGCCTGCTCAGCCTTTTTGCAATATGGAGCTTTCTAAAATACTGAGCTGCAGATTTAAAACGAGAGTACTTAGTGAATTAATGATTCTAAAGGCTCGCAAGAATGCCTTGTGCACTAACGGCTTTTTGAAGAACATCTGAAAGGATATTGGTTCATATCATCTCATGAAACTGCCAAAGAACGGGCAAATGTCTTAAGAGATTGAATGTTTAAAAGATATATGTAACCTTTATTTGAATCTGGCTTGCGTATGCATGATATAAACAAGTATGTACGTACAATCTACAGGACTGCTCTCTTCTCGATCTGCTACACATATTAAGTCTTCACATCACAATCCGCCTCATCAAATAACTGTACTAGAATATTAAACCGGGGCCTTTTCGAAGATCGCAAGTAAGTAATAATAAGTCCTTTTTTGTTTTTGTTTGTTAGTGTGTGATGTAATAAGTTACTGAAATGAAAAAGGCCCTTAAAAATTATGTAAGGTTACCATATTTCGAAAAGAATGTAGATCTTGGAGGGTACGTTGCTGCCAAACAAACGAGTTAATATAATGATAAGAGGTTGAAACATATAGTGACATCACAGAACTTGTCACTAAAAACTGATCATGACTTGAATGAAGGGTAAGATGCTGAGAGGTGATGGGGGTAGAGAGAAAAAGATCAAGATATTACCTAGGCAATAACCAGGAAATATTTCACTAGTGAGGTAGAACTCGACAATATTGTTGTGAAGCATTTTGAAAGTTAATGTTAAGACGGATCTATCTTGTCTTTTAAGTTTAGTTTTTGTTTCATTAAGTCTTGTTTTTGTCTACGTACTGTTTTTGTGTTTTGATCTTTTGTTTTTACTTGTACTTGGATTTATGCTTAGCTCGCGAATTTACTTATTGCCATATTAGGAATGTTATTCGCTTGGCATTGTCAGATGTTAGTTTTTGGCACAGTCGTGATAAGATATGTAATGTTACATTTAGCTGAAATCCTTGGTTCTTTGGTAAAATAGAATATAAAAATCTAAATTATAAAATATCTACAATATACAATATAATTCAAATATAGCGGCTGTGCGTACTATATAAATAAAAACATCTATTCCAACAATTCTTTGGCAAACCTGTTTTAATGTCAAAAGCGATAAGATATTCAATTTACCTGCAATGAAGGTCTCCATATGTTTTCAATCTGTTAACCACAAACATGTCCAGACCTAGAGTCTGGTTAAAATAAAACCAGCTACTATAAGGGCCTTGAACTAAAAGTTTAAAATTATTCAAAAAATTAACCAATGAAGATTAATTAAAATAGGGTTAAGGGTGTCAGAAAACACGAGCTGCAGAAAAGAGTTAGAAGATACTTAGGAGGCCATGTAGGAAGATTAAGATTGTAATAAATGCATGGACTAAGATTTCACATGTATCTTGGCTTAAGTACTTGCGGATTTTAGCAATCAAATGAAGAATAAAGGCCAAGATGAAAATCACATTCCTGGTGCCTCACCTTGTAGCGAGAGAGTTGCTCGAACACACCCCCACAATTTGCATATCTCCCCTTTGATATGTGTATATATATATATGTATATATGCAATAACGCAAATGAAGAGGACGTTACAGTTCGTGCCCTGATGATGATGATGATGATGATGATGATGACAGAGATAGAAACGAAGAGGATGATCGTCATTATTTGAGTCGTAATGATTCGAATGCTCTGTCGACTCTTGTGACACCTGTTTGACGTTTGTGCATGGGAGTTGAGCGTTGGCATGAAGACATAAAGAACAAAAGCTTAGCGAATTGATCAAGTTACTAAGCAACATATTCTTGGAGTGATAACATCTTTAACGTTACTCTTATTACTCTTATCAAACGTACTTTAAACTTACCAGTTTTTTCTTTGGTAGATGAACCTGGAGGATGTGTCGCTACTAATAAAATAAGGATAAAATAATAAAAATGAAAACACAATTATAGTAAAAACATTGATATGTATTAAAATACATTGTAATAAGAACATCATAGAATTCTCAAAGCTACTGATTGAATTCATTTGTTACTCAATTCGACTCAATAATTAAACATTAATCTAAAGGCCTGGATAATCCATGAAATTAGAGTTTACATTACGTACTAGGTTTTTTTGTATATTTGTAACTTAGTAAAAAAAATAGGTGTTTAACTGAACTCCGACTTGTTTCCTTCTCCACTTTTAAGTGAAACGAGTGCACTTTTCACCCATTTTCACACCAAGAGTTACTTACATTTTGGATCGCAAACAGTTATGAGAGACCAGTGAAAACTGCCCAGAATGTCTTAATATCGGTCAACATTTTTTATTTATTTTCCTTTTGCGGAAAGTGGTGCCACTAGTGGATTAGTTTATTTAGTAGGAGGCCAGTGTGCTGAGTAGATAACTCGGTTTGAAAGACAGTGCTCAGTCAGGACAGTAGATATTTGATATCAGTGGTCGTACGGTTATTTGTTCATTAGAAAAATACTGCTATAGACCCACAGTTCCTGAAATTAAGGATGTCATATTTTGTAACTATAGAACTCGACTGTCAATAAAGTTTGCCAAAATGTCTCTGAGGAAAAACTGAACATCTGAATGAAAAGACTTGGTACGTGCGTCAGAGGGTTCAAGAACAGTAATTTCTTTTTCTAGAAGTCTGCCACGTTCCTGAAAAAGCGGCATAGCCTTCTCCTTACAGTGATGCTTGATTTTTTCGAGGATGACGCATTTGTGAGTGTTGAGTGAATTGTGATATTTGATGTGAAATCCCAAGGTCCTAGGACTTTTTTTATCGCAAGCATGTGAGAAAAACAAATTCATCAGCAATAATAATTACGAATTCGAAATAGTACGATCATTTGCTTCTTTACATAGAGCAAGTGTAGTTGCAGTATTGCTAATAACTATAAACCCCTTCCCACTTAAATACAAGATACACTTACTTGTGGTCGACAAGTTAGGTTCGTATGTCTCCATAATTGACAGTGCATCCTGAGTAAAAGGGAAACCTGAAATCTGAAAAGAGATCCAGGTCTTGAACTTTCAGTGGTAACAACCGGAGAGGAAATGTTAACTTAAATTGATAAAAGTCCCATAAAGCATAATTTACTTTTTCTATTTGCAGGGATTTCGTAAAACTAATCAAAAGATAAACTCACACACTTTTTGAAAATACTTAGCACACTACAGCCACACTTTCTACACTGCCGAAGAAATTCTATTTAGCCTCTGTAGGATTCTTTATATATATAAGTTACAGAAAGTGGCAAAAAGAACGGTGCTCTATTACATTAGCAGTACAAGTGGCACGAAAGAAACATATTAAACTAAAGAATTGAAAGCTAATGCACATGTAGGTACTCAGAACAAAGGCACAAACACTTAAAAAAAAAGTGAACGTAAAAAGGAAAAGAAAATTATTAGAGAAAAAACCGTTCAGTTCGATTTGCTTCGATCTCCCTCACATGCCCAATCGACTCTTTTAAACGCTCTGTTAAAACATGTTTATTTAAAAAGGCTTTTAGTTAGATTATTTATTTATTTATTTTTTTTATTATTGTAATTTTACTGGTTTTTAATTTAGTTATTAATAATATTGTAATGCGCTTTTGAGTATTTTTATAGAAAAAACGCAATATAAGTACTAAATATTATTATTATTATTATGCCCTAAAGTGTTGATGGTCGCGATTAAGCTATACCACTTCTTCCACGTCTCAAAAGTTTGAAATTAATTAATATATTCTGGTTTCCATCATCATATGATATATGTTTCTTCGGAAAAGGAAAATGACTTAGCCGTCACTTTCGAGCTCATATTCAAGATTTGGTTTCGATAGTTGCTGAGCAAACTTTACCAATTTACCAATCAGTTACTCAGGTCAAAGCAGCTGATTAATCTGTTAGTCTCGATGCTCACTAGACTTTCAAAAAAGTCCTTCGTCCCATTTAATATGACAACGGACCTCTTGCGACTTCGTCGCTCGCTTCGATGCCTACGGAAAACTCGCTTCGCTTGCTTAGCAACTCTAGATGCTCACCTGTAATAGGAATAAATAGTCTGGATATCTGAAGCCATACGCAGAAATATTCAGTGTGAGGTCGGTCTGGTTCTAAAATGAATTAGGTCAAACAAAAAAGAAATAAATATTTCATTCATTTATCTTAATTTCGCTGTTTAATTATCTTGTGACGTTTTAAGAAACTTCGATCTGTCGGAAATTTTGGTCTTTTGTATGACCCCTGATGTAATACGTAGAAGTCTTCTTTAATGCCGGCTTTCAGATCTAAAAAGTCTAATATAAGTCTAGAGCTTTAACTTAATATATTATGTTTTTTAAAAAACTTGCGGCGTGTGAATGGGACAAAAAGGACATTGCGGGTTCTGACCTCGGTCCTGGGGACATGGTCTAAAATTAACGATTCTATGTCATCCCATATTACAACAGAAGGTCCTGCAACTTCATTTCATTGAAGTAAGCTTGCTGGTTATTTTATAGGAAAATAACACACCCAAGTATTTCCAGAAATATTTGAAGTCGATCGCTTCTTGCAGGCATTGTTGATGAAGTGTAATTGTTATGAAGACGGAGAAAGTCCTTTCTAATTTTTTGGGGGGAACCTTGTTGTTGACCTTGACCGTACAATGAATTCAGCAGCACGTGACCATGTCGGAACAACCAATAAAAAGGTTTCCGGTCACGGTGTGTGAATGAAAGATAAAAATTGTGCACGGTCAGAGAGTTCCCAACATAAGCTGCAGACCGTTGTTTTGGCCCTTCCAAGGCCGGCTTTCGCAGCCAGCCTCCTATACTAATAATGCTTCAGGTAATAATATCTTTAAACTAGGAGGAAGGGAATGATGCAATGCAAAAAGCAGCACATTCTGTTCATACCTTTGGGTAAAGAAAACACTTGAGCTCAGGCGCAATAGCACTTTTGTGGGAGACCGAAAAGCGAACAAGTACAGCGGTCCAATTTCCGTGCGTATCTAAAAGAAACAATTTCAAAAAATGTTAAATTCGGTACTCACTATTGCAAAACTCGATATCTTTCATGCAACGTTAACTTTCACAAGTCCGCGCGTTTCATATGTTAGAGTTACGCGTCCGTGTGAGAGCTAAAAACAGCTTCTGGAAGGAGGGTGAAAGCAGAGAACGAAACTGCGAAGGGTATGTCAGCCTCGCGCACCATTCGCACTCTGAAAAACTGATTTGGCTGTCACCTTTGACTGAAAGGGTATTTTATAGTCTCTTATAGGACTTACTTGCCGCACTTTTGCTTATACTGTTTCTGCCGATAAGGTGATCACATAAAGGTCCAAGCACCCAAACTTTATTTTCAAAGCGGTATTGGTGTCAAAGACCTTTCAGTCAGGGGCCTTCCAGGATCAACTTAAATATATGGTGTTTTGTCGTCATTTCTGACTGGTTTATTTTAATTTGTACCTTTGAGGACCGGAAAATGATTGTTGTGTATCTTCATAATCAAAGTATGCATCCTAGCATAATTGTTCAAATCGTACCGAAATTGCAGTCATTTTTTTTTTTACATAATGCCAAAAAGGCACATTTCTTGCATCCGATATCTCTAAACTTTTGCCTTTTGAAGGAAAAGAAGAGGAAAATAGAGATCAAGAAAGTAAAGGAGGGTAAGGGAAAAAGCAGTTGTTGTACACTTATTATTATTATTATTATCATTATTATTATTATTATTATTATTATTATTAATTTTTTTATCTTGGCTACGTTAAGAAACTCGCGTTTTTGAAATTAAACAGGCCATCTTTGGTCCCTGTCAAATTGGCTGGATAATCTAAACGATTCATTTATTAACATTGAGAATGTTACCGTTCATCACGGTCCATGATAAATTTGAATACCACTGGTTGGTGTTTTCATATTTTCCGAAGCTCACATTATATTCTGATGGGTACCAGTTCACATTTTGTGAAGGAGACGATGTAGGGCACTCTAGAATAAAAGACATCAACAAATACGACCAAAGTTAGAAAGAAAACGCACACTACCAAGTCCGCGGTATGATCAATACCTTACGCATGCGCACAGCCATGGGTGCCCAAAACTTATTAACGCACCTCTATTTTTTCATTCTCAATTCAAAATTGTAATTGTTTGCTGGTACGTATTTAGACTGTTGAAAACCTGAGGCTTTGTTATGTTTAGCTTGTTTTGTTTGTAATTGTCTTTATTAATTGGAAGATAGATCGCTTCGCATCACAAAGGCTGAATTATGCAATTATTTACAACACTATTACAAATTTCTCGAAAAAAACTACATCAAAAATATAATATAAAATATTGTAAATCTAATGTATAATTAAAATGTAACAGAATTATATCAAAATATTTACAATGTGTTCAAAAAACGGTCTAGATTCTTAATGAAAAGGTGGCATCTGTCTTGCCACTGCAAGCATAAAAACGTTTTCGCTCTATTAGTACAAACACGTGGAATGTTATAGGCGCGATTGTTTCTCAGACTATACCTAGGATTGTTGCGAGGCGGCAAAAAGTTGAAGACTGATTATGATTTTGTCGGAAGTTATAGTGTTGAAAAATGTGCTGCACACTTGGCGATTCTGGTATACTACAGGTGTTGTGTCCAAAATTTAATTAGCAAAGTATCGCCGTAGCTCAAGCCGGGCATAATTATCGACAGCGCCCCTCTTTTCTATATGCACGAGTTCATTAATAAGATACTGCGGCAGGGTATTACAGAATACTGGTACTGCACTAGTCAATTGCAGACCGTACACACGTTGTATAAAAATAGAGCTAAATCCACTGGCGGCAATCGTGCCCGTTTTAGTTGAAGTAAAAAGTATATTCCTCTTACTAGCTTTCTTCTTAATAAGATCACTTATAGTAAGCCCAAGTGGCTTCGTACTACTGACAACTTCTGGCTCTTTTCCCTGAACGAAACCTACCTGACACTCTTCGAGGTTACGTGCAAACGAAATCCTGAGCTCTTTACATTTGTCCGGCCGGATTAAAGTGCATTCTATTTTGTGGTGACCAAAGTATAACTTGATCTGTGATACGCTGAGCATTACAAACATCTCCCTTATGAACGATCTTTGAGGCCGTGTATCATCGACAAATGTCCATAACAATGGAATGAAAAGTAAGATCATTTATCATTAGGATAAATAACCACGGCCCCAATTTGGTACCCTGTGGTACCCCGGACGGTACTGGGCCCCACTTAGAGAAGTAACCTCCAGCTAATTTGATTCTTTGCGAACGATCTGACAGGAACGCAAATTCCGTTGTTTAATGACACTGTTCAGAGGTCAATAAAAAAAATCGCGAAATTTAATGCACTCCAATTCTTCCTTTCCCAAAAAATCGAAATATGGCTCATGATTTTTCGCGAAATTAATTTGAAAAATACCTGCGAAATTAAGTGAGAATAAGATAGTAGTAGAAGGGACCAAAACTGGCAGGACTTACTCGTGGCTGGAGAACGTTCTTTACGGATGCGTTTTTTACGTGAGTGTGCAAATGCAAGAAACTGTTGTCTTCTTGTAGCTGCCGAAAAAGGGAAAATAAAAACAGCAAATATTATCAAATAAAACAAGTCGTTTAAGTAATCAATGGCAAGCACACCTTATCAGTTCATGGGGATTTAGGGGTGGTCCGAGAGGACCACGGCCGCCCCATTTTCTGTAAAACTGTGTGTAACTGTTCAAGAATTTCGATAGAATAATATTTTTATATAATATGTAGAAAAATATGGAACAGCAAACTGATCCTTACGGCAAGGCGATGAAGAAGTAACCAAAAGAATAAAACAAAAAATATATATTTTTTGTTTTATTTTTTTATTTGACTCTTTGGTTTACTTCTTCATCGCCTTGCCGAAAGGATCAGTTTGCCGTTTCACATTTTTCTACAAGTTTAATTGTCCTGATCCAGGTCTACAAGTGGGGAAATTCGGCAGTTCTCATTGGTTTGTTGCTGTGGACTTGCTGATATTTTATATATTTTGGAATAATATGTAGTATCTGAACAGCTGACAAGCGTCCCGATCCCCACTTTCCGAGTTTTCTGGATCCCCTTTTGTAGACTCCCTATCCTTTCGCCTCATGTAAGGGGAATCTAAGACAGGTTTAGATTCAGGATTCTATACCGTAGATTCCGGATTCCCGGTACTGGATTCTGGAGTATTTGTTAGTGTAACTTGAATTCTGGATTCCAGTCTTTAGTGGGACTCGGGATTCCTTGAGCTGTATTCCGGATTCCAAAGGCCATGATTCTGGACTCCACAAGAA